AAGAAAAAGCAGGCAAAAATGCTGACTCTGCAGTACCAGCATAAAAAGAACTGTGTCAGTGTTTTCTAACGGAAGACAGCTTGGTTTGAATATGTTATCACTCCAAAACCACCATTAGAGGTGAACTCCGGGACCTGGCACGCAGTTAAGTGCTTGGTGTGAATACAGGGACAGCTGAGTAAACAACCAAAGGGAATGGATGGCAAGCGGCAGGAAGGGATTTGAGAGAGCTGAGCATTCAGCGCGGCCATCAGGCCTGGTACAAAGCTTGCTGCGGGGAACCAGAGCACATCGGCTGCCTCGCTTTGAAGGGGGCGGGTTATGCAAAGGCCCCAGCAGCCTCTGCCGGTTACACACCCCAAACCTCTGGAGGGGAAGCAGGTGCATCCAGCCCAAGGAGCTGGCTCTGGTGTCCCGTGGCTCTGAGTACCTACCTCAGTTCACCTAGCGTGGGGATCTTGCTATTTCAACTTACTCCTGGGATGATGCCAAGATATCATGGGTACAGGCAGTGCTTTATAAAGGGTGTCCCAAAATTCACGCAAGATTTGAATTTTGTGTGAGCATTAGCAACAACAAAAAAATAAAAGCCTAATTTTACTCGGTTTATTGCATCAGATTCTAATATCTGTTGCCCTTTGATTTCAATCCCTTCAATTTGATAAGCATTACCAAGTACCAATTATGGCCCAGGAGCAGGGACAATGAAGACCAATGAAGACCACGGCTTTGCGTATGTGCCAGCATACCCGATGTGCTATTCCATACATAACCCTATACTGTATACTTTATGGATCAATAAAAAATTTACAATTTTTAATTATAAACCTGTGTTTTCTATCAAAATTACTTCTTGCGTGCATGTTGGGACACCCTTTATAAACCAAAAGGTGTCTGAACAAGGCGGGGGGGCGGGGGGGAGGCAGCAGTTCTGACCAGGTGTGTCCCAGGTAAACCTTCAGGGGAGCACTTCTTAAACCTGCGCGGGCACTCGGGGTCTCTGGGGGACCCCGGTGAAATGCAGACCCTGACTCCCCAGCCTGCAGCGCGGCGCGGTTAGTGACGCTCACCACCTGGGGATGCTGAGCTGCTGAGCTGAGGACCGCGGTCTGAGGAGCAGGTCCGGAGGGGCCACCTCTGCGTCCGCGGAGACACGCGCAGGGAGGGGAGGCGCAGTGGGGAGGCTGGGA